TCCAACATCAATCTTTTAAGAGCTGGAAGAGCAAATCATTAACTTTATGTGGAAGGAAAGAGACACCAGATAGGTAAAGCAATACTAAAGAAAAAGAACAAAGTAGGAAGCCTCTCATTTCCTGATCTCTTACTTCCTGACACAGCCACAGTGATCAAAACAACCTGGTACTGGTACAATGAAAGGCACATAGAACAATGGAATTAAGAATCTAGATGTAAATCAATCCACCTTTGACAAAGGACCAGAACACACCAAATGGGAAGGGATAGTCTCTTTAACAAATGGTGCTGGCAAACTGGAAATTCATTTGCAGAATGAAACAAGACCCATATCTCATACCATATACAAAAACAAACTCAAAGTGGATTAAAGATCTAAATGTAAAACCTAGAACTATAAAGATCATCAATGGAAAAAACAGAGACAAACTTAGGGTCTCCGATACATGCCATAACTACACTATCAAGAATAATTAAAAACACATAAACAGCAGAAGACAAAGTAGATGCTGGGACCTCCTAAAATTTAGACACTTATATTCATCAAAAGATTTCACCAAAAGAGTAAAAACAGAACCCAAACACTGGGGAAAATGTTTGGCAATGACATATCAGACAAGGGATTACTCTCTAAAATTTATAGAACACTTCAGCACCTCAACAAGAAAAACACAAATAATCCAATTAAAAAATGGGCAGAGGACATGAATAGACACTTCACAAAAGATGGCATTCAGGTAGCCAACACACATATGAAATGTTTGGGAAATGTTAGAGAGATGTATATCAAAACAACAATAAGACATCATCTCACCCCTGCATTAATAGCAAAATTAAAAACAAAACAAAACAGAAAACAATACTGGTGAGGGTGTAGAAAGAATAGGACCACCTTCTACTGCTGGTGGGATTGTTAAATGGTACAACCACTGTGGAAAAAAGCATGGTGCTTCCTTAGAAAGTTGAAAATGAAAATACTGTATGTGCCAGTGTGATAGTTGCTGTTATGTGCCAGCTTCACTGGGCCAGGGTTCTCATTGGTTTAGCAGTTAAGACATAGTTATCACCTCCATGATGAGATCTAATATGATGCAATAGCTTTCATGATGTGATCTGATATAATTATGCTATATGTTGTAAATTCTTACTTCTGTGATGTTAATGAGGCCAGATGCAATCTACAGAATTAGTTGTATTTTGGGTCAATTTCTTTTGAGACATAAAAGGAAAGATGTGAGCAGAGAGAGAGGAACCTACTACCACCAAGATAGAAGAACCAGGAGTGGAGTGCATCCTTGGGACCTGGAGTCCTGCATTGTGAAGCCCCGAGATCCAAGGGAAGATCGATGTCAAGATGTATGGAGTTCTGCAATGTATACTGGTCCTACAGATGCTGAAAGGAGACAAAGACCTAGAGCCAAGAAAGAGACGGCCTTCCCTTAGAGCCAGCACTCTGAATGTGGACTTCTAGCCTCCTGAACTGTGCTAGAATAAATTTCTGGTTGTTTAAGTCATCCACGTGTGGTATTTCTATTATAGCAGCACTGGAAAGCTGAGACACCCTTCTACTTGGTATATATCCTCAAAAAGTAAGAACCAGGACATGCATAGATACATATAAATCCATATTCACCGCAGCACTATTCACACTAGCAAAAAGATGAAGACTACCTAAATGCCCATTAGTGGAAGAATGGATGTACAAACTTTGGTACACACAATGGAATACTATACAATGTTGAAGAATAATGACGAATCTTCAAAACACCTCATAACATGGATGAACCTGGAGGATATTATGCTGAGTGAAATTAGTTAATCACAAAAGGACAAATATGGCATGACAGGATTATTATAAGAAGTCAAGAAAGGTTTTCATACTAAAAGAAATATTATTTGATGGTTACCAGGGATGGAAAGGAAGTGAGAGTAATTTACTGGTTAGAAGGTTGTGGTTTTATATTGTTGAGAGTTGGTTCCAACTCACAGTGTTTTCTGTATAGGGTTTCCAAGGCTATAGGTTTTTATGGGAGCAGAAAGCTTCGTTTTTCTCCTGTGTAGCGGCTGGTGGATTTGAACTGCTTACTTTGTGACTAGTGGCCCAATGTGTAACCCACTACACTACCAAAGTAGACATGTGTTAACTTGGGTGATAGGGAAGGCAATATGTAACAACACTATTAAGATATGCTCACTTGAGGAATCTGTGAAACACCTCACAACATGGTTGAACCTGGAGGACACTATGCTGAGTGTAATTAGGCAATCACAAAAGGACAAACATTGGTGTGAGACCAATGTTGTAAAACATTAAAAGGTTTTCTTCATAAAAGAAACGATCTATGATGGTTGAGCAGTGAGTGGAATTATTCATGGGCTAGAGGGTAGACTCATGTTAACATACATGCCAGGCCAGACAATATGCAACAAGATGAAGGTTAGCAGAGGAAACATGAAGGTAGTTGGAGGCACAGGGAGGAATGCAATAGTTAAAGTGAATAGAGGTAAATGCTGTTAACTGTCGGTACATGCAGGGGATTGCAACCACATAATGAGGAAAAGTGTATGATTTGCTGACTGTAAAACTGATGATCTGGCTCTGTAAACCTTCGTTTATTCCCAATAAAAAGTTTTAAATAAAAAGGTATGCTCACTTGGACGGAAATATAAATTAATTTGAAAAAGGGAAAGAATACCCACAGAACAAAATCCCCAATAAATATGAGTTTACGGTAAAAAACACAAACATCTTAGGATATAAGACATTATGAAGAAAAGGCAGCAAAATCAATAGATAGTATGATCGGACTCCTGGTGAGCTCATACATTATAATTACCACACAGAGAGTATAGAGTAAATATTTTTCATTTGTATATAGCAACAAGAAAGGAGATTGAAAATATGACTAAAGAACAAGAAAGCATAAGATAGATTTGGAAAAAAAACCAAAGAGAATGTTTTTAAAAGAGATGAACACAACAATGAAAACTCAAGACACATTGTGTAGAATTAATAAAAGGTTAGATAAAGCTACAAAAAGAAGTAATGAATTGAAGCAAAGAGATAAGAAAACTATCTAGACAGCCCAGACAACAAATACATAGAAAATATGAAAAAGAGGTTAAAAGTCAGAGGCTAGAATGAGGGGGAAAATGTGCACACACACACACACATATCAGAAGGAGAAGAGAGCAAGAACACAGTTACTATTGGAGAAATCAATGGATGAGAAAAGAAGCCATCGTGGTAGAATGGTTACGTACTCAGAGGCTGCTAACCCAAAAGGTTTGTGGCTTGGACACAAGCAGTGGTTCTGCAAGGGAAAGACTTGGCAATCTGCTTCCATAAAGATTAAGCCCTATTCTACAGTTTTGCTCTGTCACATGGGGTTGCTATGAACCACAGCTGACTTGATGGCACACAACAACAATGGCTGAAGATTTCCAGGATTGTTGAAAGATACTATTCTATAAGTACAGAAATCCCAATTCATCTTAAATGGGATAAACAAAGAGAAGATCTCACCTAGATTATACTGAAAGAAGGAATACCAAAAGTAAAGTGCAGATCTTAAACACAGCCATAGAAAGAGATTACCCACAGAGAAATAAAAATTAGACTGACAACTGACTTTTCAACAGCACCAATAAATGCCAGAAAGTTGAGAACAATTATCTTCCTGGACTGAGTGAAAATAACTTTCAACATAGAATGGCAACCCAGAGGAAATATCTTTTATGATTAAAAGCTATATGAAGACATACTCAGAAAAACAAAAGAGAGAGCTTGTTCCTAAAAGCTCTCACTAAATAAATTTGAAGGATGTTTTCCAGGATGAAGCAAAAATGATCCTACAGGGAAACTCCTGAGATGCAGGAAGGAAAAATGAGAAAATAAGTGTGATCAACTGGTGGGCAAATCCACACGGACACGGACTTATACAAAAATATTCTTATTTTGTGGGTTTAAAAAAGGAGATAGAAATCAAAATCCAGGACAATAATAGTATATAATTTGGAAAAGAAAATCTCTAATGATGACTTTACTATCTCACTGTGAAAATTAAGCAATCAGAAGATTACTGTCCACTTCTATATCTACCTGGTGCCACCTACCTGTACTCATATACTGTCTTCTCCCCAACTGACTCAAGTTAAAGTAAGTCTGCTCTTTTCTACAACCAACCCTTTCCCTGTTTATAGAATGTTGTTGTTGGTGTTGTTACGTGCCGTGGAATTGGTTCTGACTCACAGCGACCCTGTACATGGTTTCCAAGGTGGTAAATCTTTGCAGGAGCAGAAAGACTCACGGAACAGCTGATAGGTTCGAACTGCTGGCCTTGCGGTTCGCAGCCCGATTTGTAACCACCATACTACCAGAGCTCCTTGTTTATAGAAGAGCAGCAGCAATTCCTTCCTATCTTTGTTGTTGTTGTTGTTGTTGTTGTTGTTATGTGCCGTGGAGTCAGTTCTGCCTCATAGCGACCCTGTATAGTGTTTTTGAGGCTGTAAATCTTTACAGGAGCAGATAGTCTCATCTTTTTCTCCCATGGAACAGCTGGTAGTTTCGAATTGCTGACCCTGAGGTTAACAGCTCTATTCCTAACCACTATGCTACCAGAGGTCCTTCCTCTCTTTACATCATTATTTCCCTCTCTTCTAGGTCAGTCCCACCAGAAAGAAAAAAAAATTCTTTTATTTCTCCTATGCTTAAAAAATAATCCTCCTTTCAATCCCCACTTCTCTACCAGATGCTGCCCCATTTCTTGGCTCTTTCTTTGCAGTGAAATTCTTTCGAAGGGTTGTTCGCTGCTCTGTTTCAATTTTTGCAAAATAATGCTAAGCAAAGTACAAAGAAGGAATATTGATGAAGAGCTGAAATTAGTGAAACAGAAAACAACACATAGGGTTCATTAAAACAAGGCTGAGGATAATTGATATTTAATGAACTCAGCAAAGAAAATCTTTTTCAAATTTAAAATTTATAAATAGTATTACCTGTTCTTCCTTTGACTGAAGATGAATTTTTTAGGTCTCCACTAATACTGGTGACTGTAGCCGTGTATTTCCGTCCAGGCACCAGGTCAGTAAAAGTGAATTCTTTGGCGTCTTTGGAAAGCAATTTGTGGATGAGCAAGAGGTCTCTGTCAGTTAGTGAAATGATGTATTTCTCCCATTCTGCTACAGGGGTCTGCCACATGATGCCCAGTGAGGTTTCATTGGCATGTTTGACGCGAAGCTGGAGGACAGCCAGGGGGACTGAAGAAAACACAATGAAGCCTTTGGTTATTGATTAACTCACATACACTTAATGGGGCATTCTTTAGAGAGCTATTCTCTTCCATCTATAGGTGTGTTCTAGTTCAACATTTAATCTTTGAATGCTTGTGAACATTTCTTTTTTAAACAGACAATCATTAAAAGCATGGGTCATGATGTAACATTACCAGATATAAAAGAATTCTATTGAACAACACTTTGCTGGAAGAATCATTTATGTGTGACCACATACTACTTTATTAGTATTGTTCTCTTCATATGAATTCTAACATCTAAAATATTTAATCCAATTTTGTCATCCACAAAACTGCATAGAAAAGTCTGTGTTTAAGTATTTACATAGGGTTGGGAGTATTTGTTATCCCTGTAGTTTGGAAATGACCAAGTACTTTCTTCCTTCCATTTCTGAGAAAGGGACACTGATGTATCCATAAAAGGAAGAGGTGACTGCCATATAATAATAGTATCTGATTAAAGACTCTGTGGCAACCCAGGATCAGGCAGTGTTAAGTTCTGCTGTGCACAAGGTTGCTATGTGTTGGTACCAACTTGATGGTACCTAACAACAACAACAACATGGCACTGTGGACTATTGTGTCAGACTACAAAGTCGTTTGAACTACAAGATCGGTAGTTCAAGTTCACCAGCTGCTCCATGGTACCCCTATACAGGGTGGCTATGGCTTGGAACTGACTTGACGGCACTTAACAACAACAATAATATCTAAAGAGGAGTCCTGGTGTGGCATTAAGGATAAGCACTACACTGCTAACCCTAAGGTCCGTGGTTTAAACCCATCAGCTGCTCTTTGGAAACCCTATATAAGGCCACTACGAGTTGGAACCAACTCGACAGCACTTATCAACAACAACATACCTAAAAAAAAAAAGAAGCCCAGGTGGTACTGCCCAGGTGGGCTAAGCACTGGGTTGCTAATCATAAGGTTGATGGTTCAAACCCACCAGCTGGTTCACAAGCGAAGGATGCGGAGGTCTACTCTTGTGAAGATTTGTTGTTGTGAAGTGCCGTCGAGTCGGATCTGACCCATATTTACAGCCTTGGAAACCCATGGAGCAAGTTGTGTAGAGTTGCTATGAGTCAGAACCAACTCCATGGCACTGTGTTTTTTGGTTTTATTAAAAAAGGCCACCCTGAGAAGCACAAAGGACTAGTGGTCCACTACCAACTGAGAGGCAGGTGATTCAAACCTGCCTGGTGATCTGCTTCGAAAAGGAAACTTCCTGGGGTGCAGTCCATGAAGTTGCTAAGAGGAATGATGCTATTATGGTGGTATTAGTGAAAGTGGTTTTGAATGTTCTCATTTGGCAAAATTCAATGTTAGTAATCAGTCTGCAATTTTGGGAGAAAATTCTACTAGTCTGTAGTATCTCAAATCCAAGTAACACATACTGTGTAGTGTGGTCTTGATGGTTACCTGGTTTATTTGGGAGAGGAAGGAAATTAAAGCCCCATTAGCCAGAGGCACCTCAGCAGATAAGTCTGGTGATCTACTTCTAAAAGGACACAGTCTTGGAAACCCTGTGGGGCAGTTCTACTCTGCATACATGGGGTTACCGTAAGTTGGATTCATGACAATGATAACAACAGTTACTAACACTTGGATATCTGCTTACCTGTCCTGCCTTGGAAACGCTCAGAATTCTTCAAGTCTCCACTCTCAACAGTGACTTCAACATCATACTGTCTTCCTGGTATGAGCCCTATGTCATCCACAACATAGTGTGTTTCCTTCTTTCCCACAGTGATGTTGAGCAGCACCAAAGAATCATTGAAGAGCACAATACGATACTGCTCCCAGTCTCCAGCAGGGGGCGACCAGCTCACTACAAGGGATCTCGTCTGACCATTGCTATTTGCCTCCAGGTTCCTAACTTTCTCTGGAACTGAGGGGTGAAATGATGGCAAAAAGGAGACATTAAAAACCCAAAGAAAACATATTATCTACAATTCAAAAACATTTTTACCTTCCCCTTTTCATGTTTGTGGATTTCAAAAAGAGCTAAATGTTCTTTCCTCATTGAGAACACAACACTCAAAAAATGTATGCTAAAATAATTTCAGTGATACATCAGTACTGCAGTCTTCTGTTAGACCATTAATAATATAGTGATATAAATACTGCTTTTTACTGACTACACTGATTTTTTCTAATGACAGTGACATTGATGGATGTGGCATCGTTTTGAAGAGATACTGGATATTGTGGTCATGAAACATTCTTTTCTTCTTTTCTCACGGAAAAAGACGAATCTTCTTGAAACATAGCTCTGATCTTATTATTCTTTTGTTCAAAACTTTGCAAGTTTCCTCATTAACTAAATGCCCTTGGCTTGGCATTTGTGACTGTACAAAATCAGACCCCCTATCTTTCCAGACTTATCTCTGACTGCTCCCTAACTCCTGCTTCAACGTTGGTATCGTTGTGAAATGCCATCGAGTCAGTTCTGACTCATAGCGACCCTATATAGGGTTTATGAGGAGCAGCTGGTAAGCCTGAACTGTCGACCTTGTGGTTCAAACCGACCTTGCAGTACAGCACATTAATCTGCAGCACCACACCAGAAATGCAGGGTTTCAATTACATGCTCTGTAGACCTGAAAGTTCCCTGTGCTCTGCTCTTATTATTTCCTCCACCTCCAATGCATTTCCTTTTTTTTCTTCTCCACCTGACAAAGAACTACATGTCCTTTAGATGCTAGACTTCTGGTGTGGCACTGTAGGATAAGCGCAGGACCACAAAGTTGGTTTGAACCACAAGGTTGATAGTTCAAACTCACCAGTCGCTCCTCAGAAACCCTATGCTGGGTTGCTGTTGAGTCAGAACTGACTCCATGGCACTTAACAACAACAACTCAAGAATTCTCCCATTTTGTGAAAGAGATTTTTCTTTTCTTTCTGCCCATAAAGTACTTTCTTAGACTGTCTAATAGCAAACAGAATGGACTCTGAAATCACATAGCAGGAGGTTTTCAATTCCAGCTCTACTGCTTACTGTCTGTATGACTGGACAAGTTATTTGACTTTCAGAATCATGACTTAGATGTCATGACAACAATCTCCTAGAGCATCAATTTATTCATAAAAAGAATGGGATAAGGATTTGGTGACATAAATTAATAATTTATGAAAAACATGGTGAAGTGGCAACTGATCCTCTCTGTATGACTCCATCAGAAAAGCTTTATTTATTAGTATTAATGCTATTGCATTAATTTATGATATTTAAGTGATGAGATATGAAAAGGCACAAGGTAGAGCTAATTATGTAGATAAATCAGGAATCCAAACACATTTATTTCAATAACTCAGATGAATGCAGTTGATCCCTTGCTTTACTCTGTGTATAGTGTCCTGATCCACAGATGCCTCAGTCAAACAGACCATCCTTCCGAGGCTGGAAAAGGTGATTTCCTTCTAACTTACTTTGTTCTGTTCTAATATGGTTGGTGATTCAAATGCATCAGTCGCTCTTTGGAAATCCTATGTTGCGGTTGTTAAGTGCCATTGAGTCGGTTTCAACTCATAGTGACTTTATATAGGGTTCTAAGGAGTAGCTTAGGAAGACCAGAAGAGTTGTGGGATGACATCAAGAATATCATACATGAAGAGAGCAAAAAGTCATTAAGAAGACAAGAAAGAAGGAAAAGATCAAG